ACTCAAGCTACTCTTCCAAAGAGCAAAACCTTGTTGTCAAATTTTAAAGATGTCTTGAACAAAAGTTCTCTGGTCTTAATATCTTAATAGAATTATGAATGCAACAAAGTACCATCCGATTTTAATCCACCATACAATACCATCAGGTAAGGATCTGATTGGTAACAGCTTCGTTGTTCAGCATCACAACGATCCCACACTGCAAATACACTAAAAACCCTCCCCACAACCTGGACCTCCACTTTACTAAAAAGTGTTGGATCATCTTGACAGAGAACAGAACAAAACGCAGCCAACATCCAAAGAAGAGCTCTTCAAGAGTCCTTGAAGAAGTCTGGAGAACTATTCCTGAAGACTACTTACAGACGCTGTGAGAAAGCTGCCTCAGAGAGTTCATTCTGTGTTTAAGAATAAAGGTACCAAATCTTTACTTACAAGCTCATGAGAATTGCACAAACTCTAATATACTGTATTTCCACGTTCTATGTTTCAATAAACTCCTGCAGCTATTTAGTTTTTTAAAGATTTGAATGTCAAAAAAGTCTATAAAGGTAAAAGAAAATTTGCTAAGTATCTAAAGTGCTCCAATAAACCACTGCAGCAGCTGCACCTCTGACTCAAAGGGTGAAACTTGCAAACCCTGACAATAATTTAAAGAAGTTCTTAACTCAGTAATAACTGCCATTGCAAAATCCAAACTGTCTCGAAATCCTTTTTCTTCACAGAAACAGAGTTCACTGATGAGCTATAGTCTCATGAATTTCCTTCCTCTGGGGCCAAAATATAAATCCTACACATACTATCCTTCGCCGAGGCTTAGGAGAGACTCCGGCACCTGCCAGCAGCTTGTGAGCAGGAGGAGCCGGCGTCGTATGGACGCGCTGCAGAAATGACCAAAATCAGGGCTGATTGCTCTGTGCAGTCTTGTTTGTACATATGAATGTGTGTGAATGCATGTATGTCGGTGCCAGTTCAGGCTTTGCTCTCTTCCTCTGTGGTCATAAAGAAATGTTTCTCCTCTCGTTTCATAACTGAAGCACTGGCCTGGTTGGCAGACCTGCAAACATGCGAGCTGAACAAAAGTTTCCATTGAGAACGAATCAAAACGTGAATCTGTGCTCTGCTTCTCTCCTCTCTCTTTCCAAGTGTGTAAATGCATGTCTAAATTGGCAGAAATGTGCAAGTAAACATCTTGTACAAACTGTTTGTGGACAGAGGAGAGAGGGGACAAATGTAAGCCTGAGCGCATGTGCGGGCATGCTCTGATCCTCCAGTTCGCCACCAGATTATAAAAAAAAAGAAAGTTCCTGTCTTGGTCTGGGGTAACATGGCAGGAGGGTGGGAGAAAAAGAAAGAGAAAGAAGTGAGGAGGATGAGGAGGGGGTCGAGACGCGCATGTGTGTGTGTGGAAGTGGGGAGGCGTGCGCTGTCGTAATGAGTGACATCAAACACAGCTGCCACATAACTGGGACCATTAACGAGCTCCGTGCAGTGACCCCCACAGCAGCCACCATCGACCTCTGGAGCTACTGGTTAAACTCCAGCGACACTGCTCCTCTACCAGGCCTGGACCAGTCAGGGGTGCAGATATGTCTTCCCTCCGCGCAGTCATTTTCCAAGATCACACTGGTGGGACTTTGCCCTTTAAAGCCGTTTTTTTAAAAACAATATTCACACGGCCAGATTACAGTTAAAGAGTGGCTTTAATCATTAGTGGCACTGTGGGTTTCCAGTGGAAGAGAACTTTTTCCTCCTTCTTTCATCTTACGCTTTCATCTTATTGCCAGAGAGACACATTTTGGCTTCTGGCCTTCAAGATAAAAATGCAGCTCTTTACAAAGAACATTCACGTGAATAAAGTGCTAAAAATGATGCTAAAAAAGGGAGAAAGAAATGTGCACATGTACAATACAGTACAAATGAGAGGAGTCTGACACAAAGGTCAACGAAGCGACGCACAAATTGGACGACTGATTGAATATAACACTGATCATTATAAGTCAGTAAGCTTTGGTTCTTATGGTTGTTGTATGTTTCAAGAGACGTTCTTTCCAAAGATGTGCTGCTTCATAGGTAGAGAAGCATCTTTGTCCTCCTGTGTGGTGAAACGCAGGTGTGATGTTCACCTGAAAGAAGCTAATGCCACAGAGAACTCATCCAATAACTAAAGCTGAACCTGGCTCTACTTTTACAGCTATGCAACAGGTCCATCATCATCATGCTTGGCATTAAAAGCAGTTTTATTAATAATGTAGGTTTTTTTTTTTTTTACCTATTTAGCTTGCAAATGTAGCAATAAAACAGTAATGAGCAACTAGTTTCCAATGTGGTGCTGTGTGTTGCTGAATCTGTTTACTCTGTAATGAATTTTTGGGCCAAGCAGCACATGTCCGCTTTGGTCTTAGCCTGATCATCTGTTAAATTCATCTTCAAAGTGCTAAAAATAGGGTTGCTGTTCTTGTTTAATTAAAAGATGCTGAGATCTGTAGTGAATTGCAAACTTTAGGCTCCAGCATTTCTCCCCTGACTGCCTTTTCTCGCCTAGTTGCAGTACAAGGATGCTAAAGTAAATCATAGAGGGAATGTTAATCCCCCCAAAACTCTTAATTTGTTCAGTTTTGACTGGTAAAGTCTCACAATAGCTGCATAAAGCATGATGACTACATATTTTGCTATTTGTCTTTCACTGGACGTCCTCACGGGCAGTAAGGACAGGATGGACGCCTTCATGTCCTGTAACTCTTTCAGTGTACATGAGTATGTGAGTAACGTTTAAGAGAAGGTGAACCTGTCCTTTCAACTGCTGTCACCTTTCACCCCTCTGAAGTGAAACTGTTGTGTTGAGCTAACTTAACGATCTAATGGCTCATGGCTCACCTTCCTCTTGGCAGTCCTGGTCACGGAGGTCGTGACCACCACAAAGCTCCACAGCACATAGAGCCTGGAGGGACAAAGAACAGAGGGTAAAAAAGTGGGAGATATACAGGATTTAAAATATCAGCAGGTTGAATGAGGTCTTTTGTAAAGCACGCAGTTAATCCATGACCTGCTATATAATGTTCAGACTTAAAGACTTTCATTAGTCCCTGTTGAGGGATTGTCAGCTTTCTTAAACTTTTCCTTCAGTGTACATTTGTTTTAAAAGGTGTTACAAGTGTTACCCAAACACCTTATTAAATGTTCCAGTGACCTAAGTGTACTTTACCAACCAATTATGCCCCTTTCTCCCCTACTCTGGGTGGCCTGTGGGCTCAAATGGGTGTGAACAAAAGTTTCTTTTTTCCCCCTTCAAGGATCACAGGCAAGCATCTCAATCAATCTGGGAAAGCCTGGGAGGTGCTAACAAACTAATGGGTTTTAACAGCAAGCATGTTTTCCCTCCGCATGCCTCTCCCTGCGTGTGTACACACCCTGAGGATGTGGTTTTTAGAGACACACACACAGCTGCCACGCTCTCGGGCTCAATAAGTTGCAACATCCGAAATCATCTTGTAATTTCAGCTACTTTTAATTCGAAGGTGTGACGTTCAAAGACGTGCTGTATGGCTGGGGTGGCTTTGGAGCTGTTGAATTGGGCATGAAGCAACAACTGGGGATTATGTTGAGTCGCTGACTGGGCTGGGCAAAAGCTGTTCACCTGAAAAAGTAGTTTAAATCCTCACATGAGTCGTAGAAGTCTCACTATTCATTGAGAAAGGAAAAAGGAAAAAAAAAGACAGATAATACACTTGTTTCAAAGTCTGTCTATAATTATCATAGAAACCGAGACAAGTGTATTGAAACAAGAGGGATAAATTCTTTCCATCTGACAAGGAAAATAGCCAGAACACGATCCTAAACAACTTGCTAAGATGGACCTTTCAGCGCTCACCACCAGAACCAAACCATCCCCACAATCACCAGTCCGCAAGCCACATGTAGTCAGAGTAATTGGTCCCTTCTACCCAGTGTGGTGCACCGCCGCGGTCTCTGGAAGTTTCCCCACACCAGACTACACAATTACCCCCGAAAAACACAAAGATCCCGCACAACAGAGCCGCTCAGGCCGAAGTAAAGACCCCCTACGCGGGTCCACGTTTCCCTCGCCGCTACAGTGGCACATTGTAGAATAACCTCAGAGCAGCGGGGACAGGGGAACAGAGGGAGAAAGAGAATTATATCAGTGGAGAAAACTCCCAAAAATCTGCCCCGAGGAGACAGAGGGAACTCCGAGCTAAAAAAAAAAAAAAACAGTCGCCTTTGGGTGAATTCCTTTCAGATTACCTGGACAGCGCCCAGTGCGCAACAAGAGGGCATCGTGCGTAAAACCGCAAACTTTACCACAAAACAAAAACAACTTTCTGAAACAACTCTGCGCACAAAGTTGGACTCAGTCTCCCATGTGGTGTTTTCTACGGACAGACCAAGAGAAGCAGCAGGGTGCAGCAGACGTGAAGAAGTTTTACCTGAACAGCAAACCGAGCTGCATGCTCCAAGAGTCTCCCGCACGGTCCCGACTCCGCTCACAGATAATAATTATTAGTCCAGTTTAGTGGTCTAATCCGATCTGCGGAGCCCTGAAAGAAACGTGATAAAGTCCTGCGAGGACTTCAGCTCTCTTCTCTCTCTCTCTTCTCTCTCTCTCTCTCTGTCCCCTTCCTCCTGTCACAGTCACTCCCCGTGATTTCTGGAGAGTGGGAAGAGTTTCGTTTTTTTCTCTTTCAGTGCCGTTCACTCGACAACTTCTTTGGGTTCTTAATATAAACTAGTGTGACGCCTGACAGCGCCAGGGGGGGCACGGGAGAAAGAGAGACAGAGAAGGGGGGGTGGACAAAAAATGGACAGATTACACAACTTTCTCACACACTCTCCCTCTCTTTCACACATGAAAAACAACCCCCCCACCCCACCCCTCACCCAGCCTAAAACGCGCTCATAACACACACTCACTATGGGCCCTGACTGAGCTATAATAACTCTCAGAGCCGCTTTCTTAGTTGCTCAATCTAACATAAGAATGCCCCATTGTGCTTTGTCACACTGATCAGTAGTAATGATCTAAACACTGTCAGGAACAACCCTGAGCTGGCAGCATCTGCAGCAGCAGCAGCAGCACTTTAAAGGGGGAAGTACAACGATGAGCTTACTGTTGTGCCAACACAAACACTAATTGTTGTCTGACAAAGTTACAGAAACAAATTCCAAGTGGGAGATATATGTGTGTTTTTATTTTGCGTGGATGAAATATGGCTGTTGACTTACTGGAGCAAAAAAAAAAAAAAAAGACTTTTTCTCATAACTGTTTAATCACATTTAAAGACTGTAACCAGACATGCTTCACCAATTTGGAGCTCAGATAAATAGACCCAAGAAACACGGCTCCCCTGAGCACAGATCTCACTCTGTGTGTGTGCATGTGTGTGTGTGTTTGAGAGAGAGAGAGAGCAGGAGCTTTGGTTGGAAGCAGATGTGAAAACTGTATGTTTGGTTGCAGTCCACCAACCTTTCCAGTCGGTACCAGGAGGCGTCTCTAAAGGAGGGGTTACTGCTTATCTCCCCCCCCACCGGATTATTCAATGAGCTCAGGCCAGAGGTCCATGCACAATTAGGGGCACAGCCAAGAGTTATGAATGAAAAAACAAATACATAAACAAGTTGGTCTTTATGCCACTAAAATGACCAATAAAACAAAAAAAAAACATGAATATGAGATATATTATTTATCTTGAAATTACACAATTGCGAAAATTCACTGATCCATAGCACATTGTTGTTGTTGTTTTTCTTTTCCACAAAAATGAAAACAGTTCAAACATTAAAGCTGTTGAGAAAATGCTCAGCAAGCTTAGCCAGAGGGTAGCTGCTGCAGGGGCTCTCGGTGAAGTGACATCTGACTCCAAGTCGTGGCTGGAAGTAAATGAAGAAGCAAAGGAACAAGGTGAATACAGGTGTGTCTCTCTATGTGTGTTGGGATACTTAACAGAGCATTATAATTATGAATAACAATGTTAAAAAGATTTTTCTGGTCATTTTCCATTTATTATAGGAGAACTCGCCTTTAGTGAAGATGCATTATGACAGTTACATTTCAATTTCTTTGGTCTCTATAATCAAAGATTTAGGGTCACCTGATCCAGCTCTAACTACATTATCTAAAATAGGAAAGCATAATCTTAAAAGTAGAGAGGGTGTCTGTCTCGCAGGCCTGAAAGCTGAAGGCTCTGCCTCCCATTCTACTCATATGGATATATGGATATATGGAACCACAAGTAAACCAGCAAACTGCTCTATTGGGGAGATACGATAGTTTTAGGTCTTTAAAATAAGCTGAGGCCTACATTTGTTCCCAGGGTAAGTAAGATGACACCTGAACTATGATCGCTTCCTAACTCCTTCAATCAATAACTATTGGCAAATACTTGAAATAATGATCTTGATCACTTTTTTCAATATTACTACATTAAGCTTAGCAGTAAATAAGGTAATTAAAATGACGCCATTATATATTGCACATAGCAAGTACTTTTACTTTAGGTACTTTAATATATTTTGAAAGTAATACTTCTGTACTTTAACAGAGGATATGAATGCAGGATTTTTGCTGTAACAGAGTATTTTGACAGTCAGCTGTGTGGTGGAGGTGGACTGGGTGGGTGGTCCACCAGCTGTTAGGTTGGTGGTTTGTTTCTCCTGCAATTCCTGCAAGTCTAACTATCCTTGGGCGAGATCCTGAACATCAGATTGCTCCAGATGCCTCCATTAGTGTGTGTGTGTGTGATTGTGTGTTAGCTTAAAAAACACTATATGTGTAGAATAAGTGTGCACTGCTGTGTATGTGAATGACTGGGTAAATGGAGTTTGCTGCGTAAAGTCCAGTCTATTTTTCGTCAAAGATTTCAGTAGTTGTACCACCAATTCAACTTCATTACTGTAACCTCTACTTCACAATAACAAGAGTCTAAGGTACTTAAATTCTAAGTAAAGATGATCAAACAATAGTCAAACAATCACGTCATCCACACTGAGGGAGGACTTGGCAAAAGTGGGGGGTAAGAATTCCCTTCAAAGAACACAACCAGGGTCAGGGAGGGGCAGGAATCTGCCTCAACCAGCTGGGGATGAAGGGCACAGAGAGACGTTAGCATTATTCATTAAACATGCTAATAAACAAAAAGTAAAAAGCAACTTTCAGATTCACATCCAGGGCCACTTTTAATGTTTTATGGCGCAGTGCACTGCAAAAGAGCCTGAAAATCATACCCGATGTTTACTTCTCCAACTTGCAAAGGTGTATTTACTTCTGCTTGGACTTTCTGATTTCCCACAAGGAAAAATGTGTTTAAATGTGTCACCATATTTAAAAAACAAAACAAAACATCCTGGTTGGTTTGGTTTTCTAAAACAGAACACACCAAACAGCCAAGCAGCTCACAGGGTGACAGTGGGAGTAAAGAGTGTCATTTAGATCACATGCAGAGGGTGTATATATACAAACACAGCTATTACTTCTTTAGTTGCATGGAAAAGAACTGGTAGTCATCTGCTGTCTATTAACATTGACAAATTTAATAACAGTAGGGAGAGACATTGTTTTTCCTCATGTGCTGCACAAAAAGAAATAAGAAAGAACGAGTGTCACAAACAAGAAAATGGGCTTTCATTCTGTTTATTCTTTCATCGCTTATTCTCTTAAATAAGATTTAATGTATGAACAACATCTAAGGCACGAAAGCATTAAAATTATGAGTTTGTTTTGTGTTCTTTATTTTTGGGCTGTGCATTCTTTCTTTTTTTTAAAGATATGTGCTCGATCCGTGGATCTGGTTTACGTTATTAGCTGGTGTCATGCCCCTTGAGGGCTGGGCATAGCTGCATGACACATTAATAAAAAACATAATCTCCTCACCACTGAAAATAGTGAGGCGGGGAAAGTTCAGAGCATGTGAAGAGTAAAGACGAGAGGAGGATCAGCTCGGAGAAAAAGCAGAGCATGAGAGGACAGCGGGAGGAAAGAGGAATGATGGAGATTCGTTTTCTAGTGTGTCTCCTCGAGATCAGAGCCCAGAGAGCCAACATCAAGCCCCCTGCTACTTGTAAGACATTATCTCACTCAAGGTCCCTTCTGATCCAGCTCTTGAACCTCCTCATTAACATTTCCCACCCTGCTACCCTGAGGCAAAGAGCCCACACGGTGTAAACGAGAGCGGGAAAGGAGGGCGTGCATGTGAGTTATAGTTGGACACGCTGCTTTTCTTGGCAACAATGTGGACACGGCAATGGTGATGGAGATTAGCGACTTCAAAGCCCGCTAAGAGCAGATGACCGAAGACTAAACAACATTACAGACAGGGCTTAAGATCTGATCTGTCAAAATAAAAAACAAGTTCATGTAAAATCAAGAAATGCGCGGGTGCAGTGGGTGAATACAGGGACACACACACTCTATACGTACATCGTGTGTGTGTGTTTTTTGTGTGTTATTAGTGTAAAGGATATCTCTGTACTTCTAAGCACCATGTCTATCAGTAACTACAATTAGCCAGAGGTCATTGCCATGGCTACCACTGGCCCGTGACCACTTATAGCCCTCTTTGCCCCCCCTTCCGTTGCCCCCTATCTATGTCTTTCTTCTCCTTCCTTCCCTATCTATCTTTCTCTGGATCCTTGAGAAGCAATAACTTACATGCCGGCCTGTCGACACGCACCACCAACCGCAGGACCCTGATTAGCAAAATGTCTCTCTCAACTAGTCACCACAGCACAGAGTGTTTGTGTGTGTGTGTTTGTGTGTGTGTGTGTTTGTGTGTGTGCATGTGTCCGGGGAGGTCTATATGTAGCAGCAGATCTGTTATTTGTCTCGGCTGGCTGATCTGAGTAATAGCACTGCAGATCAGAGTAGCGGGGCCCTGTGGGAGTGATAAATCACTTGAAAAACTTCTAGTATGTACACACACCCTGAGTCCAAAAAACACACACGCCTCAGCCTCGGGCACAGGAACAGTAGGCCCGCGACCATTTCGCTGTTACGGTTAATGAGGGCTCCGGGCTCCTTCAGGTCAGCAGACGGGTTGGGCCTCGGGGCTGGACCGCTGTGTGCTAAAGGTGGCAGCAGGGCGGAGAGATGATAGAGACGGAAGCGGGGGAAGGATCAGTCCTGCAACACTCTTCCAGTAATGATAACAAAGAGCTCATTTCACATTCAGCCACTGACCTACAGAAGAGTCAGCGCTGAAACACGCTTCAACAAAGATGTATGTAGGCACCTCTGCGTGGGGAGGAGGGAGAAGTTTCATCTGTTGGTTCATCCAAGCTGAAATAAATCAGCAGTTATCGGATGTACTGGCATGAAATTATAAAACTTTCATGGTGCACAGAGGATGAATCCTGCACTGAGCCGAGCCTCTTTGCTCCAACACAGCGCTGCTCAAACTTTTTCTACTTGTTCCACTTAAAGGCTGAAAAAGGTCATCAACAGTGAAAAAACTTTATTGAAACAAAATCAGCATGCTGTTTGTTTTCCCCACATAAGTCATAAATATTCTGTTGGTTTCCCTCTGCATGCCCCACCTCCAGACGCTCTGTGCCTCCTCAAAGGTGACCTCCTCACAGTTTTCACACATGACCTTTGGATAATATCCAAAGTTATGCATGCAGCATGCAGCAGTGTTTTCACTACCAGGTTGACCAGATGACCCTCTTTATGTGGGACTGCACTTCATTGATGAACTGTCACAAGCTTTTCTGCTTTTTCTTCAATATGATGGAAACTACCACAAAAAATGAAGCAGCGCTATATTCTGAG